AAGAAAAGCAAGCCTTGCTTTTGCTTTTGCTTTCGTCATTTTTTTATTGAGATACCAAACTGGCCGGTGATTTTCCTCTCTCGGACTGGACTGTCTGTATCTGATTCCCAGTCGGGACAAAGCTGTGATTAATTCCTGGATCCAGGCACCACCAGGTGTGACTCCCGTTGTTTTTGTTTTTGTTTTGCTTTTTTGGGTCACACCCGGCGATGCACAGGGGTTGCTCCTGGCTCTGCACTCAGGAATCACTCCTGGCGGTGCTCGGGGGACTCTATGAGATGCTGGGAATCGAACCCTGGTCGACTGCATGCAAGGCAAACACCCTACCCGCTGTGCTATCACTCCAGCCTCCTCCAATTTTTTTTTTTTAATGATTTATACTTGTTTTTTTTTTTTTAAAACTCTGATGTGTTCCTTCAACTTTTACTTGTCAAAGAATTCGTGTAATGCCGGAATTACCTGTTCTTTTATTTATTTATATATATATATATAATCATTTATTAGAGAACAGTAAGAAGCATGTCTAGCCTGCACAGCCCTTTCTTTTCTTTTTTCTTTATATGCTTAATCTTTTATTTATTTATTTGTCTTAATTGAATATCCATGAGATAGACCATTACAAAGCTGTGTGTAATTGGGTTTCAGTCACACAACGACCCAGCACCCATCCCTCCACTGATGTCCCCCCCGTTTCCCTCCCACCATCTCCCCCCACCCACCCACCCCACCCCCAACCTCCCTCTGTGGGAGACACTTTCCTTCTTGCTCTCTCTCTCTCTCTCTCCCTTTTCCTCTTGTGCATTGTGGTTTGCATGTAGTGACGCGGCCCTTTGTGGGGAGACTCTGTCTCCTGTCTCCAGGCCTTAGAGCTGCAGGAATACTGGGGTTCCCGGGTCTTAAGTCAGCTTTGACAGGTTATACTTTTTCTAAGGAAATGTTCATTCCCTTACAGTTTTTTAACTAGTTGGAGTATTGTTAAGACTGTTGGTCTTTTCTCTTCCTCCTCCTTCCTCCTCCTCCTCCTCTTCCTCCTCCTCCTCTTCCTCCTCTTCCTCCTCCCTCCTCCGCCCCCCCCCACCCCCCAGTGGCCCTCTCTCTGCCCAGGGGTCACTCCTGGTGGTGCTCAGGGGATCGTATGTCTTGCTGGGGATCGACAGCTCATACTTCGCTTGTGCGAAAGTTCACGTACATTCATTTAATCGGGTGTATAAATAGTGTTGTGCCAATTTTCGATGACCTTTTGTCGACTAGATTTATCAGCTATGGAAAGGGGTGTGTTGAAACTGCCACCGAGAAATTTCTCCCGGATCTCTGTCAGTTCTGCTCCCTGTGCGTATTGGCGAAGAGTATTAGACTGACTCTGCTCTCGGATCATTCTGTGAAGGTTTTTTTTTTTTTTTAGTCTGTTCCATCTAATAATGGTATAATTTTTTTTTTTGGCTGTTTCCGTTTCTATTTTGTTTGGGGGGGCCCATCCGGCAGTGTTCGGGGGTTCCCCCTGGCTCTGCACTCAGGAATCACTCCTGGCAGTGCTCGGGAAGCCATCTGGGGTCAGGGATCCAACCCAGGTCGGCTACGTGCAAGGCAGGCGCCCCACTCACTGGACTGTCTCTCTGGTCCTGGGAATTTAGTTTTTAAGACTCAGTTAGGGTCAGAGAGATAGGAGTGAGTAGGGCCCTTGCCTTGCATGTAGCCAACTGGGGGTTGGTCCCCAGCATCCCACCTGGTCCCCTGAGCACAGCCAGGTGTGACCACCCCCCCAATCAAACAAACAAAAATTGTCAATTCTGGCCCAGCAGATCTTTTTTTTTTTTTTCTTTCTTTTTTTTTTAATGTAGGAGTACTGCTATTTATTCAGCCACTAGTTTAGCTGATTGAATTGGGCATGAACTCCACCTTACTTTTTTTTTTTTTCATTTTTTATAATTTTATTTATTAAATCACCGTGAGAGCAGCTACAAAGCTTTCGGGTCTAAGTCTCGGTCATACAATGAAACACCCGTACCTTCACCAGTGCCCATTCTCCACCCCCAACAACCCCAGTATGCCCCCATCCCACACCCTCCCCCTACCTGTGGGGCAGATGATTTCCACATTACTCTCTCTCTACTTTGAGCGATAGCACAGCGGTAGGGCGTTTGCCTTGCACGCAGCCAACACGGCCGACCCGAGTTCGATCCCTCCGCCCCTCTCGGAGAGCCCGGCAAGCTACCGAGAGGATCTCGCCCGCACGGCAGAGCCTGGCAAGCTCCCCGTGACGTATTCGATATGCCAGACACAGTAACAACAAAGTCTCCAATGGAGACGTTACTGGGCTCGCTCGATCAAATCAACGAACAACGGGAGGGCCTTTACCTTTACTTTGATCACATTCAATATTTCGACACCAGACCCACCATTACTATTTGGGATTTTACCCCAACACTCAGCCAGCAGATCTTTTCTCTGCCATACTTTGGCATCCTGTTGGTCTCTCTCGTGAACGCATGGAGCAGGGCTTCAGGGTTTTAGTAGGATCATCTTTTCCTTAGTTGTGATGTAGGGGCTCAAACCCAGTTTCCTACTGACCGACCGCCAGGCCACACCCTCCGCCAGCTTCTTGACCTTTCTTTTTTTTTTATTTCAATTTTTTTATTAGAGATGAGTGCACCATGATTTTACTCAGTTGTCCTTAGAGGTGTTCAGTGTTCCAGTGTCAGACCCACCACCAGTTTATTTTTAATTTATTTTTTCATCTTTCGGTGCCGTACCCAGTGGTGCCCAGGGCTTCCTCCTGGCTCATGGGCCTCTCCCGGTGGGGCTCGGAGAACCGTAGGGGGCCCAGGGACCGAACCTGGGTCGGCCTTGTATGGGGCGAGCCCTCCCCTCTGCACCCCTCTCCTGCCTCCGTCTTTACCTTTTAAATGTCCAAACAGCAGGGGCTGGCGCAATAGTACGGCGGGTAGGGCATTTGCCTTGCATGCAGTCAACCCGGGTTCGATTCCCAGCATCCCAAAGGGTCCCCCCGAGCACCGCCAGGAGCGATTCCTGAGTGCAGAGCCAGGAGGAACCCGTAAGCATCACCATAGATCTTGTTAAACTTCAAAACTTACTCAGACTCATCCCCCCAGTTTTGGGACGGAGCGATAGTCCAGCGGGGAGGGCGCTTGCCTTGCGCGTGGCTGACCCGGTTCGATCCCCGACATCCCATCGGGTCACCCCACCAGGAGCGATCCCCAAGGGCCGAGCCAAGAGTAAGCCCTGAGCACCGCCAAGTGTGGCCCAGAAAATACCCAGAAAGCACAAAACCTTTTCCCCTGTTTCTTTATGGTCAAGTGATGTCTGCGGGCCCTGCTGTCCCCGGGTGCGGGTGGGGACACTCAGCCCGTCCACGTTTTTCTGGGCGTCCCCCCTTGCCCACAGCTTGCCTGCTACTGTCCGGCGGCCGCCCTGGCCGGGCCTGTGGCCAGGGTTCCAGTGCCGCTGCGCGTCCATCCACTGTTTGTCTGCCGGGGGCGTCCCTCAGTCCTGCCCCCGCCCACCCTCCCGCCTTGCTCATTCGGGATCATTTGTGCCGTTATCCCTGGGGACAGTGAGAGCCTGGCCGGGCTCTCCACCCTCTTTTTGTTCTGGAACCTTCCTGTCACCTCTGTCGCATGGAATGGGATGTCACAGCTTGTGCTGTTGCTCTTGCCTAGTCGTGAATGAATCGCTAGGTCCAGCGTCTTGACCAACGTCCCGGGCCCCTCCCCCAGGGGTGTGTGTGTGTGTGTGTGTGTGTGTGTGTGTGTGTGTGTGTGTTGGTTTGGCGCTGCTGGGACTCAAACCCTAGACCTCACAGGCCCAGGGCCTGTGCCCGCCCGCTCCCAGCTCTGCTCAGGGACCCTCCCCACGCCCGCCCCACCCAGCTGCCCCCTGGGGCCAAGCCCCCTCGTCCCGGGTCTGCCTCCCCGTCTGTCCTCGGCAGACATGTGTGTTCTTCAGGCTGTCCCCAGCGGTGTCAGGTTCTCAGGTCAGGAGCTTGGTGGCCGCGCGGAGCTGACAGCCATCCATCTGTCTGTCCATCCGCCCAGGAGTCTCGGCACAGGGTTTGCTGGTCCTCCGCGTAACCCCATATTTTTCTCACAGTGGAAAAAAGCCCTGCTGGGTTTGATCTGCCGTTCTCCATTGAGAGGCTTGGCGTGCTGGGTGGGGAGCAGCCCCTGGTGGTGTCCAGGGGCCTGGGGGTGCTGGGAATTCAACCAGGCATCTCCCAGGAGAAGCTCATGCTCCGGCCCTTGAGTGCGTGCTCTGGCACAGTAAATTTTTTTTTTTAATTTTGATTTTGAGTTTTATAAAGTTGTTCACAATACTGCATTACAAGTAATGTTCAAACACCAGTTCCACCACCATCAGAGGAAAGTGTGTGAAGGTTGTTGTATTTCATCCTGGAGCCGTTTAAGCCCTTGTATGAGAGATTTCCAAGCTTGTACTTTAAAACCAAACAGATGTGTGCTACTTTTGGTAGTCGGTGGGCTTAGAGTGTAAGAGGGCACACAGCCGTGATTGCTCCCTCGTGCGTCGCTCTCTTCGGGGATCTTTATTTCCTAGTCTCTGGGTCTTGGCCGTGGATGAGATTACACTGCAGTGGGGGGGCAGTTTGTGGGGGGGTGACTGCCAAGCTACCGGAAAACTGGGGAGATGGGGGGAGGAGGCCCAGTCCCAATCCGCGTGTGGCCCAGTAACTTTCACATAACCAGTTGCACTGGGATTGTTTCATGAGTGTCTTTCCTGGCCGGTCGGCCGCCTGTGGGTGTGGCTGGGAAGGTGACACGAGGCTCCTGGGATGCCGTCCAGCTGTCCATCTGTGCATCCGTCCGTCCATCCGTGGTCTCCCCTTGGCCCCCTGCAGCTCAGCCCGCGGGACCCGCCCCTCTCCATCCCTGCGTGGCTGCTGACTCTCACTGGGGGGGCGGGGGGACCCCTGGCGGTGCTCGGGGCCAACCCCCGGGTCCCTTGCACTCACGCCCTTCCTCTCGCAGGCGCCGGGCCCCCCGTGCCCGCCCCCGACCTCCTCATGCAGATCAAGCAGGAGGGTGAGCTGCAGCTGCAGGAGCAGCAGGGCCTGGGCGTCGAGGCCTGGGCCAGCGGGCAGCCCGACATCGGGGAGGAGCCCTGGGGCCTCGGCCAGCTCGACGCGGGAGCCGCCGACGTGTCCACGGACGCCGCCTCCGGTGAGTGGCGAGCAGCGGGGCGCGGGGTGGCGTGGAGCACATCTGGCCGGGCCTCCGGGGGGGGGGATGCCCATGCCAGGCGCTGCCCTCCCCACCCTGGGCCATGGGGGCCACGGACGACACGTGCGTTCCCTGGGGCCTCAGAGAAGGGGCCAGAAGCAGGTGGGGGTCAGGAGCGACAGGAAGGGGGGGGGGGGGCGCTCGCTCAGAGAAGCCCCACGGAGGCCGGGTCAGCGGCTCGTCCTTCCCGGGGCCCGCCCCACCCTCCCCTCCTGCGGGCGTCCACTGCGGCTCCCCCAGCCCCATGTCTCTCCCTCCCTCCCTCCTGCAGGTGTCCACTCCAGCTTCCCCACCACCATCCCGCCCACGTCGTGGCATGCGGATCTCCCCCCGCACCACCCCTCCTCGGCCTGCTCCGACGGCGCCCTGAAGCTCAGCACCGCGGCCGCCTCCACGGAAGGTAGGGAGGCCCCCGTGGGCACCCACGCTCGGCCCTTCCTCTTCTCGCAGGTCATGGGGGTGGGGGGATGGGGGTTTGTTTGTTTGGCTTTTTGGGTCACACCCGGCGATGCACAGGGGTTCCTCGTGGCTCGTGCACTCGGGAATCACTCCTGGCGGTGCTCGGGGGACCCTGTGGGATGCTGGGACTCGAACCCGGGTCGGCCGCGTGCCAGGCAAACGCCCTCCCCGCTGTGCTGTCGCTCCGGCCCCACACCCTCAGGTGTGAGCCACGTTCATGGCTGGGGCTTTGGCGTGTAGGGCCACACCCCGTGGGCGGGGGACCACCAGCCCGAGGCCCCCACTCTTCCGCCCGTGCCGCTGCTCCCCGGTCGGGTGGCAGGGGTTCGAGCAACCCTGGCCCCTCTCGGGCATGGAGCAAACCAAGCCACACAGGAGCTGCTTCTGGTCTCCTCCCGAGCAGGTGACCAACCAGAGCCAGAGCGGGCAAGTCTAGGGGGGTTGCATGGTTCAGTGCCTCTGACCTGTGTGGCCCTGCGGCCAGCGTAGTGGCCACCGCGAGAGACCTACTGGTTCTCAGTCTTCTTCCCTTCTGGACCTCCCAGGGGCCCGGCTTGGCAGGTTGTGGCCAACAGGGCCAAGGGCTCAATGCAGGTGCGCATGGGTGCAGCGCTTAGGGTGACGTGACCGTGACATGGGCCCCCCTGAGGTCCTGGGGGCCCCTGGGGACCATGTGGTGCCGGCCCTGTGCACACACGCACACACACGCACGCACACACACACACACACACACCTGTGCCAAGGGCCTCAAATAGACTTTGGGCTGTGAAATTCAAGTCCACACACACACAGTCAGACGCGTGCTTCCCGTTCCACCGAGGGCTTCTCCGCCCGCCAGTGGGCCATCTCTGCGGTGTGCCTGGTGTGTCCCCTTGGCAGGCTGCATGCCGGCCAGCCCTGCCCTGCCCCACAGCTCTCCCCCGCCCTCAGCCCTGCAGCGCTGGGCCGCGCTGAGCCGTCCCTGCCCTTAGTGTCAGCTCTCGATTCTCTTCGGCGCAAGCCAGAACAACGGGCCAGGTGTCCCGAAGTGACCGGTAGCTGTACCGAGAAAGTTCTAGAACGAACCTAGAACGCCCCCCCCTTAAGTGGTTCGGGCAGCCCTGAGGCTCCGGGGCAGGGCTGACCTGGCCCCCGTTTCTCTCTCTCTCTCTCCCTCTCTCTGCAGATGTGAAGATCGTGATCAAAACGGAAGTCCAGGAGGAGGAGGTGGTGGCCGCCCCCGTGCATCCTACTGACCTCGAGGCCCACGGCTCGCTCTTCGGACCGGGCCAGGCCACCCGCTTCTTCCCCAGCCCCGTGCAGGAGGGCGCCTGGGAGAGCCAGGCCGGCTCCTTCCCCGGCCCGGACCCCGTGCTGGGCCTCCGGGAGCCCGCCCGGCCCGAGAGAGACCTGGGGGAGCTGAGCCCCGCCGTGGCCCAGGAGGACGCGCCCCCTGGGGACTGGCTCTTCGGCGGGGTCCGCTGGGGCTGGAATTTCCGCTGCAAGCCCCCCGTGGGCCTGAATCCCCGCCCGGGCCCCGAGGGGCTGCCCTACCCGTCGGCGGACGGCGGGGAGGCGGTGCTGGACCCCACGGGCCAGGCGGCCCGGCCCTTCGCCGCCGACCCCTGCAAGTACCCGGGCCGGACCAAGGGCTTCGGCCACAAGCCGGGCCTCAAGAAGCACCCGGCGGCGCCGCCCGGGGCCCGGCCCTTCGCCTGCAGCACGTGCGGGAAGAGCTTCCAGCTGCAGGTCAGCCTGAGCGCGCACCAGCGCAGCTGCGGGCCGGGCGCGCCGGGGGCGGGGGGGCGCGGCGGCGGGGGGCGCGGCGGCCGACGGGGCGGCGGCGGGCGCGGCGGGGGGCGGCGGCGGCGGCGCGCGGGACGGCAGCGGGCTGCGCTGCGGCGAGTGCGGGCGCTGCTTCACGCGCCCGGCGCACCTGATCCGGCACCGCATGCTGCACACGGGCGAGCGGCCCTTCCCCTGCACCGAGTGCGAGAAGCGCTTCACCGAGCGCTCCAAGCTCATCGACCACTACCGGACGCACACGGGCGTGCGGCCCTTCGCCTGCACCGTCTGCGGCAAGAGCTTCATCCGCAAGGACCACCTGCGCAAGCACCAGCGCAACCACGCGGCCGGCGCCAAGGGGCCCCCCGCGCCCGCGCCCGCGCCCGGCCCCGCCGCCGCCGCCGCCGCGCGCCCGCCGCCCGCGCCCCTGCCGCCCGCGCCCCCCGACCCCTTCAAGGGCCCGCCCGCCAAGGCGCCGCTGGCCGCCACGGACCTGGTCACCGACTGGACTTGCGGCCTGGGCGTCCTGGGGCCCGCGGGGGACGCCGGGGACCTGTGACCGCGGCCCCGGCCCTCCGCACCCCGACCGTGCACCCCGTCGCGGACACGGGGTGGTGGTGGGGCGACAGCGACACGGGTGGGCGTCGGTCCGGGGCAGCCACGGCGTGCCCACCCACCCCCCTCGCGGGAACGATCACTGGAAAGAAGCAGCGCCCAGGCAGGAAGGCGGGGCCCCGACACACACACACGTGCACACGTGCACACAGCCCAGTTCTCACCTGCAGACACACAACACGCACACACACACACACACACACACACACACAGAGCCCAGTTCTGTCTCTCTCGCTCTCCCTCAGACACACAGAAACACACACACACACACAGTCCAGTTCTCTCTCTCTCTCTCTCTCTCACACACACACACACACACACACCCCAGTTCTCGGACCCGAGGACTGAGCCCAGTGGCGGTTTCAGTAATTTAATTTCCACACCTTCTTTCCTTTTGTGTGGTTGGTTTTTCGTTGTGGTTTTTTTTTTTAATTTTGTTTTTTGGTTGGTTTTTTTTTTGTTTTGTTTTGTTTTGTTTGTTTGTTTTTTCATTCTCGAAGAAGCTGGGGAATAGTCTCCCGTTTAAAAACTCTGTAGCGACTTTCGGTTCGGGAGCCTGTGTTGGTGAGCCGTGTGTCTTGGCAGTGGCACCCCGCTGGGGTCTTGCCCGGTGCCGCGCCCCCTCCCCCCCGTCCCCCCGCTGTGCACAGACACCCCCCTTTCCCCCGGTGACAGCAGCAGAAGGGGGGGGACAACGGGCTCCTGTCCCTCGCCAGGAGGGCGGCCGGGAAGCACTCCCACCCCCACCCAGTGAGATGCCGCTTGTCTTTGTGTGTCGTGTATTTTCCTTGTCCAGAAGTTGGTGTGGCTCACTGGGTGGGGGAGTGGGGGGGCGGGCCGTGACCTTGGGGACACCCTCAGGATTTTCTCATTCATTGCCACCTTCTGGGATGCAGGGGTGAGGCCCCACCTGGAACAGCCCAGGCACCCGCAGCTCCCCGGGCCAGGACCTGCGTGGGAGAGCCGGGCTGGGGGCTCGGGCCATCGTGAGAGATCCGCCTTCCAAGGCAGGAGCAGAGCCACAGGGCAGCCCACGGGCTGGCCGGGCCAGGCTCTCCCCTCAGGGTCGCTGCCTCTGGACCCCCAGGGGGCGGACTGGGCACCCTCTTGCCCCCAGCCCGTCCCCCAGCTGTTGTCAAGAGGAGACCACACAGCTCTCTGGCGTGAAGGTGCCCCCACCAGGCAGGGAGCACCCTGCCCCACACTGGCTCCCACTCGCCCCCCCTTTTATTAGGCAATAGACTAGTTATGCGAATCGTTTCTATGTACTGTATATTTTGTACCTGTTTACACTTCTAATATTGATATAACTGATATTTTGAAAAACGGAGAGGAAAGAAAATGTCTGTTAAAATAAAACCTAACCAGCACCAGGCGCCTGGCTGGGGTCCTTCCATCGTGCGGCGACCCGGCGTGTCAAGGGGGGGGTCGGAGTGGAGTGGGGGGACGCCTCTCGCCACGGAGCCCCAGGACACGACCCTCTGGGGACCGGAGAAGCCACAGACAATCTAATGCAGAGAACAGCCCACGCCCCCCCCCCAGCCCCGCCGACCCCGACAGCGACTGTTAACCATTTCGCTCACGTGTGCCGTCTTTCTCGGTCTGGATCGTTCTCTTAAGAAAATGAAAAATGTAAAGTAAAAATCTGCTTTTCGTTCGCCGTGGGGGGCCTGGGAGTCAGGCCCCAGGGGGGAGGCCGGGGCTCAAGCAGGGGGTCTCGGCCAAAGGGACCCAGTCCTCGGAGGCAGCCAGGCACCCCCAGCCACCTCCCCACGCTACACCCACCCCGGCCCAGCACGGTCCGTCTCTGGTCACTCAGTGGGTGACTTAAGGCTAAGTAAGGTACAAGCGTCTGGGTCCCGAACATGGGGAACAGGGGCAGTACCACGTGGGGGCCAGAAGGGGGCGCCAGCAAGGCGGGCCGACAAGCACCAGGGAATCACCCCGGGGGCTGCCTGCAGCTTCTGGGGCCCCATATTTTGCCCCCTTGGACCCATGCTCTGGCCCTGTGGGCGTTGGCACCTGTGGCTCCTGCCACAGCTTGTGACTTAAACCATCGCGGGTTTTCGTTCTGGACATCAGACATCCCCAAGGACGCCTGGAGCCGAAACCGTGGGTATGGCCCCACCGGGGAGAGCCCCACTGTGTTCCTCTCGCACACCCCTGGGGCTCCAGAGGGCCCCCCCCCCCCGCCAGCTGCAGTCGCCTCTCTCCAACCTCAGCCTCCGGCCACCCACAGGACCCGCCCACTACTGCAGTGACCTCCGCCTGGATCTCACTTCGTCCGTTGGCAGGGTCCCTTTGCCGTCCTCTGGGATGCTGTGGAGTTTCCTGTGTTTTGCTTTGGGGTCACAGCGGTGCTCAGGGCGACTCCTGGCTCTGTGGTCGGGGATTGCTCCGGGCGGGCTCCTGGGACCAGGTGGGATGCCGGGGATTGAACCCGGGTCACCTGCCGCGGGCAAGGCCAGTGCCCTCCTCTCTGGACTATCACTTTGGCCCTAAATGTGGGACTTTGGGGGTGGGATTAGGGGGAGGCTTCATGGCGGAGGGAGGCATGAGCAACATTCAGGGTTTACTCCAGGCTCTGTGCTCAGCTATCACTCCTGGTGGTGCTCGGGGGGCCGTGTGCAGTTGCCTGGGCGTGAGCTTGGGTTGGCTGCGTGCAAGGCCAGTGCTCTGCTGTCCCTCCAGGTCCCTTTTCTCTCTCTCTTAACTGGCACCCGCAGATAGAGCCCTTTGAAGGTCCCTGTTGCCACCTGCTCCCCCCCCCCAGCCTCTCCCCGGACCCCCGAGACTCCTGCTTGTTCCCCCTTACTCTCGTTTCACCATTTCGCCTGTCTCCTGCAGCCTCCAAGAGGCCCCGGCTGGAGCACTGTGCTGGTCTCTCTGTGATCTCCTGTCCTGTCACCCCACCCTCCTCCGAGGCACCTGTTCCTTGTCCCTGCTCCGTCACTGATGGCGTCCAGCTCTGTGCCTCACCCCGCCGGCCCCCCACTCTGCCCTAACTCCCAGGGTGCCCCTCCTGAGGACGCTGGCTTCTCCGTCCTGATCCAAGCCCTCTTGGGCCTGGGGGCCGGAGCGACAGCACAGCGGGGAGGGCGTTTGCCTTGCACGCAGCCGGCCTGGGTTCGATCCCCAGCATCCCCTGTGGTCCCCCGAGCACCGCCAGGAGTGATTCCTGAGTGCATGAGCCAGGAGTAACCCCTGAGCATCACCGAGTGTGATCAAAAAAAAAAAAAAAACCCAAGCCCTCTCGGTCCTTCTCATCACCTGCTGGCTAAGACCCTCGACTTTGGTGTGGACCCCCACACCGACCCAACACGAGCCTCCCCCCTGCTCCCTGGCTCTCCCGGTTTCCTTGGCTGCCCACGCTGTGCCCGCTGCCCGCGGCTTCTCCCTCTCTGGCCTCCATCTGTCCCGTTCTTTGTACCCACCTGGTACCTGGGTGCCCCCCCCCCCAGCCTCCCCGGTGTCCGCGGGTGAAGTGAGGCCTCCGTGGACACTGGCCGGGCTCCGCCCATACACACACCTTCCCTGCCTGTGCAGAATGCGTTCCAGCATGTGATTAAGTGTATACCCGCGGGGACCGAGCGATAGCCCAGTGGCGAAGGCGCTTGCCTTGTACACGGCTGACCTGGGTTCGATCCTTGGCATCCCCCCAACAGTAAGTCCAGAGTGCAGGGGCAGGAGTAACCCCAAAGCACTGCCAATGTGACCCATAAAGCAATAAATAGAAGGTAAGTAGAAGCTGAGGCAGCGCGCTGGTGAGACCCGTTCCTGAGCTGCGACGCCCTCCTGGCGGGGGGTCACCGTCCAGCATTTAGCCTGAGTGTCACAGTTGACACAAGACTCCGTAAGATATGAAAAAGCACCACTTAGGCATGACTAGACATGCTTAAAATTTTTCCTTTAAGGGGCTGGAGCAATAGCACAGCGGGGAGGGCATTGGCCTTGCACGCAGCCGACCCAGGTTGGATTCCCAGCATCCCATATGGTCCCCTGAGCACCGCCAGGGGTGACTCTTGAATGTAGAGCCAGGAGTAACCCCTGTGCATTGTCGGGTGTGACTCAAAAAGCAAAAATAAATAAAAAAAATAAATTTGGGAAGGCTGGAGCGATAGCATAGCAGGTAGGGCATTTGCCTTGCACGCGGCCAACCCGGGTTCGATTTCCAGCATCCCATATAGTCCCCCGAGCACCACCAGGGGTAATTCCTGAGTGCAGAGCCAGGAGTGACCCCTGTGCATCGCCAGATGTGATCCAAAAAGCCAAAAAAAAAAAAATTTTTTTTTCCTTAAAAATTTTTTTTCTTTGGTCAAAACATAATAAATGCCAAGATTGCAGGTCTATAAGCAGAACATCCCCTGACAAACACCACACGATTCCAGAGGGAGGGTAGTGAGTGCGGAGATACAGACGAAGGGCACTTCTCACGTGCCATGGAAGATGGGCTGCGCCCCTTCCTTCCTCTGAGCGAGGAGCCACTGTGCCCTGGGGGTCAGGGGCAGGAACCCCCCAGGCCTTGGGCCTGAGTTCGAACTGACCCCCAGGCCTCAGGCCCTTTGAAGGCCGCATCTTTAGGAAACCCAGGCCTGAGCGGAGTGGACAGACAGTTCAGCAGATGGGGTCCTGGCCTTCCACATGGTGACCCTGGTTCAATCCCCTGAACAACGCAGACTGTGTTCCCAAAACCACAACAGAGACACACGGGTCAGGACCAGAACCATCGCTCAGCGGGCTGGTGTCTGCCTGGCACCCTGCTGACCCGGGCTCCGTCCCTGGCATCCTACGTTCCCTGGAGCTGGCCAGGAGTGATCTCTGCGCCCTGAGCACCACTGGCTGTGACCCCCAAACAAAAAGAAACTAAAAGACCAAAAGCAACGGCATTCCCTGAAGTTAGGGACGACCAGAGCTGCCGTCCCCACAACCCTGAGCGGTAAGTTC